CCCCATGACCCAAGACCCCTGTTACGCGCCTGGGTACAAACTGGCGTAAGTTATAAACCTATGGGTTTTCTGGGCGGTTCATAATTGCTATTAATCACTACCACTAGCGCTAACAGGACACGTCGCTGTTGGTTAACGCCGTGTTTTTGATAAAGGGAGGCCGTGAATTCGAATCGTGCCTTGTTGTTTAATTTTCCCTTTTTGTATAAATGAACAGTTTATGCAATTTGAGACAAAAAATTTGAGCAGTTTATAAGATAATTTTTTTTTTTCGTTTTATAGACACCCATATAGGGTAAGTATTTCTTTGTTTTCCTCAATTTATTCTGATGAAATATGTGCCTGGGAATATTTTTATGATGATTTGGAAATACTTCCAATGAAATAATTGAGAAATAATCGTAGGTCTTCGTTTTATAGGTCTTCGGTCTTCGTTTTGTAGGCACCCAGGGTGTCTATAAAACGAAGACCCTTGGTCACAAACAGACGTCCAATAATTCCGTAATTTTCATTTTGTGACTGCCTGGTGTATTATGATTGAGATAAAAAAGAAAAAATAGGGGTCTTCGTTTTTGGGTCTTCGGTCTTCGTTTTATAGACACACTTAATATAATATTTCACCTAAAATATAAATAACAGTATGGGTATGTGGTGTGGGCATATTGTCACTCACTAACAAAAAGTGAAGGTATGGTACGTTTACGTTATCTGAAACTTAGCGGTGTGTCATCGACGAATCACCATCATCGACTCATCAGAAGCTATTCTAGCAACCAACACGACCACTAATCCTCAAACAACAACCTACCAACTGCTGAGCGGAGTGTTCGCATGCATTTGTTGTCTGTCGAGGCTAGGCCTACAAAAAACATTCGGGATAAGGTTGATCCAAGGTATTATTTTTACATATTGACTTTATGCTGTGTTTTATATACTGTATTTATATGTATATCGTTCGTTAGGCCTTGTCATTTATGCTACTATTTTAGTTAAATGAGAAACGCCGGTTCTAGTGCTAGGCTAAGCCTAGCCTTAGGCTAGCAAGCCAAGGCCCTAGCTAGGTAGCCTAGCTAGGCCCAGGTAGCCTAGCTAGGATAGGCTTAGGCCTATAAGGCCTCCCTACTCTCTACTCTAGACTAGGCCAGATCCTAGCTACTCTAGACTAGGCCAGATCCTAGCTAGGCTTATATCAGTTAGGCCTAGGGGTGTCTATAAAACGAAGACCGAAGACCCAAAAACGAAGACCCGTATTTTTTATTAATTTTTTAATTATTTCTCAATTATCTTATTGAAAGTATTTCAAAATCATCATAAAACAGTTGCCAAGTACATATTTCATTATTTTATCACGATTGGGAGAAAAAAAAATGTGGGTCTTCGTTTTTCGGTTCTTCGGTCTTCGTTTTTAGACACCCATATAGGGTGTCTATAAAACAAAGACCCTTAATTATCTCGTCCATCCTATGTTGGTGTCACTACCAAATGACTGATGCTGCACATATGCTTCACTATACCACATTCTTACTGTTTAAAACATGGAACAAGGTTATGAATGAAATATTCAAGGTTTTTGTAGGCCCCAAAAATATGCATACCGCTTGGCCAAGCCTAACTTTCGTTTAGAGGGTAGCAGCGCCAAGATGCGCTCAACCACCAGCCGTGGACGTACAACATTGGTTGCTGCTTTGGAACTGGAATAAAGGGTAAATCCTTCAATTGACTCAGATTCAGGCAACAATGTGCTAAGAAGACGAATAGTTTACTATATATACATAGCATTAATTGATTTAAAAACATTATTTTCATCATGATTGAAAGAAAAGAAATGTGGGTCTTTCAATAAGATAATTGAGAAATAACTGGAGGTCTTCATTTTTCGGGTCTTCGGACTTTTTTTTTGTAGACACCCATATAGGGTGTCTATAAAACGAAGACCCTTGAAAATTTCACCAACAGACGCCCAAAAAATTTCGTAATTTGGATTTTGTGAGAGCCTGGCGTATTATCATCAAAATGAAAGAGAAAAAATAGGGGTCTTTGTTTTTGGGTCTTCGGTCTTCGTTTTATAGACACCCTTAGGTCTAGGCCCTAGATTGCATTTTGTACCAACAATACGCCTTTTTCACGCTGTGGTAGACATCTTCGATCACTGACAATCAAGGCTGAGCAGCGAAGCGTAACCAACAGAAATAACATAGTTTCTGGAGGTCATGTTACTCAAAAAGCCATATATTCTTGACGGTAAGTCGTGTTGTATTGTATTGTAGGCCTATGTTTTTAAATCGCAGAATTAACACTGGATTGTTGCTACACTGACATTTCTGATGACATAAATGGAAGGTAAATGGTAATGAGCGATTTACATAATATTAATGTATAAAAATTCTTAGGCTACTATTGTTCACAGAATGATGTCGTGTATGGTTTCTATAACGGATACAGGATGTCTGCTCAGGATGCAGAGCTGCTCAGAATTAATTCATTTCCCCTAACAACATTAACACATTTTTACATGAAATTATACTAGGCCTACAGGAGCAGATTAAAAAAAATAATTAGTTCTCAATTTTTATCTTAACCACATCGTCATGAGGCTTGGTGAGGCAGGGTTGGGGTACTTACGCCTCCCCCCTCCCCCATGGTAGAAGTTAGTTTCACTAAGTGGTTTGAAGTCATTGGAATAGGGGGATAGTTCGGCCTTCCCCTCCCCAGGCCGAAACCAGTCCTTGCCCCTAAAGACCAGACTTCAGAATTCAATTCAATGTTTTAATTCAAACCATCCTCCAAAATGCACTTCTCCTAACGGAAAAATCGGAATCCGCCCCTAAATTTAATCTTGGGTACCGTACGTTATCTCGATAATATTTAGCCTAACCCTAACCTTCTTCAGCGTAAGGCACCGTATTTTTGAACATTAAATGCGGAATACCCTGGCTCTACTACTTGGCTAATAGTCGGCCCTAGGTTGTGTTGTTAGTTTCTGTGGTTATTTTTTATGGGATTGTCAATGCATAGGTATACGTATGTAGCCTGTACGACGATAGAGACTAATATACTTTTTTTTTGCAATAATTTAATTACAATTCCCCCTGACAAACACTGATAAACTGGCTGTAAAGATAGTCAAAATAGAAGCTTTCGACCCGCTGGAGTTCTCATTATTTTCCATCCATATCATATATAGTTTTCCCGTTTCCATTTCATACCCTCTCCCCCTCTCCGCAGCCGCTGTTTGGTTCCTAAGACGATTTGTTGGTAATCATACCCTCTTCGCAGCCACTATTTGGTTCCTGAGACGTCTTTTTGGTAACTGCGCATGCTCGACATGGCTCAAAAATGTCACTTGCTCAATGCACATGCTCACTGGCTGTCTAGCATTTCCAAGTGCATGCTCACTGTGTTTTTATGGATAATTCACGGACGTTATTTGGTGACTGCGCATACGCATTGCTTAGTTTCGGAATTCCCATTTTTTTTTTTGTAGTAAAAGCTACCGCTACGTACAGTTTCTTAATGACTATTTCCTCTTGATCATTACAGCCTAAAGGTGCGGTACGAAAAATAAGTTCACTAAACAAGCTATAAAAAAAAAGTCATGTCTAACATATGCTACTACTCTTTATGTCAGGGCACTGCACAAATAAACAAGCTTTTAAACAAATTTTAAAGCATTTGAAATCTATTCATGCATGATTTTCTTTGATATTAAACATTTGTTCCAATTATATTACAGTACTGAACTCTGTTTTTCTCATCTGGTGTTCAGTTTAAGTATTGAATTAGTGCCCTGGTTCTCAAATATTTTTAAATGGTGCCCACTGAAATACCAGGTTAAAATCAGTAGTAGTAGTAGTAATCAGGGGCGGATCCAGAGATGTCTGAAAGGGGGGCCCCGAAAGTGGGGCCCCGAAAGTGGGGCCAATCGAGATAACACTACCCTATGAGGTCTGGGGGAATTCCCCTGCGAAATTTTTGTGTTCTAACCACCCAAAAATAACCTCTGAGGCATTTTGGGTGATCAATTTTTTCTTTTTCTTTCTTTCTTATTTTTTCTTTACCTTCCAAAAAGGGGGAGGGGGTGCCAGCTGCCCCCTCCCTAACTAAATCCGCCCCTGGTAATACTTTACAGTAGTATCTTTTCACAATATGTGGACACATTTGGATAAAGTAGTAATGGGAGCTACAGTAACTATTAAGTGATACCCAGACAGTGTGTCATTAGATCAAATTAAGTCCTAAATTAAGCACTTAAATAATAGGTGTCCTTCAATTGTTGGTTCTTTGTTAGCATAAATCAACCAGTAATAAGTACCGGTAGTATCACAATTACAACTTAGCGTTGCTGGTATTGGCTATTGTTTGATGGTGAGATATTCACACATGTCACCTCATTCATTATCTAAGATCAGATTCAATAGATTTGTGATAATATTGCTGGTTCCTGTAGGCTTATGTACATTAGGTTAATTGTAAGCTGTCATCTTTGCTTTCACATTTTGAGACAGTAGGAGAGTTTCAGGTTAAATGGTAGGTCATGTTATTATTTAATATAAGTCCCCCTCCAATTAAAGACTACTTTTGGTATGGGTGTTTCTATGGTCAATTTGGTCTCTAATTAGAATAATAAAGATAATAGATATTTGTTGATTTGGGAATACATAAAAGTGGTCTTTAATTGGAGGTGGTTATTATTGGTTGGGTCTTTAATTAGAATTAGATATATTTCTCAATAAGTTGCTCATATTTATCATTAGAATTGTTAATTTATCAAGTCTGTTATAATACATTATATAGTATTGTACCTCCATAAACTAGGTGACAAAGCATTGGTTTGCATTCTTAAGTACATTTTAAAATTTTTTTTAAAAAGTAAATTATCTTATCATTAATGAACTTATTTATTTTGGTTGGATTGGATTGGATTTATTTGGTGTAAACACCAAGGATAGCCCACGAAAGTCTAGAAGAAGACTTATTTCCAGTGGGGTCCTTCTGGTGGTGATTGGACAGTACACCGGGCTGTCTCTTATACACATCTAGATGTGTATAAGAGACAGATTTCAAGACTTCTAGATACGCCACTGTCAGCC